TTGATTCATCTAGAAAAGTGACTGGAAATTGGAATCTCCAATAGCACGCGACGATCATCGTCAATTTTTTCATTTCCGTGCAACTCATCAAACTTCAGTTATTTGAGCATATATTGAGTGATATAAAACATAGATTTAAAATAAAAATTACTAACAATTGCAAATACTTTATATATAGAAGAGAGAGCTCCATTAGCACCCATTTTAATAGGCTTTTAGTTTAGTTTTATATTTCTGTTAACTAACGTATCTTATAGAGACAACGGCATTTAGCAGTCAACAGCCCCATTTAGTTAATTATTTTTTTTGTTTCTTATTTCTTTTCGTTAATTGATCTGACCAGCCTTAGAAGCCGTCATCGGGTGGGCGTCGTCTACGTCGCTACTTGTCTCAATTTACTCTAGCAATTCTATCATCATTTTATTTATATATTTAACGCGTTTATCTTTTGTTTTGCATGCGCTTTCTGTTTGTTTATTTATATCAAATAAAGAAAGAAGAATAATACATGAGTCGGGTTTCACGTAACAACTGACGCCTATATACATATACATATACTTCTGCAGATATGTATATAGATTTACTTGTCTGACTACGTGTTTGTGAATATTATTTATTTGGTATCGAATATTGCGATTTGTTTGCTCGCTTGAAATATTTCGTTTTGTTTTGTCTATCTAGAACAAATTCCATCGGTCGAATTGTTTATGCGCTGCTGCAGCAAAAAAAAAGAAAAAAATGTGTCTCTCGATAAGGCCCAGAGGCTTTGGTTACTTATCTGTCGAAAAGTAATCGTTCCTATGAGTCGTATGAGTAATTTTGCTGCTGCCTTTACGTAACTGCAGCAAGTGACAGTGGCAGTTGCAGCAATAGTCACTAGTGTTGTTGCTGCTGTTGCTGTTGTTGTTGTTGTCGTTTGCCGCTACGCTTACGTTTTATTAAATAATTGTAAATAATTGAAGATAATTGACATCGTTGCTGATGTTGTTGTTGTTGTTATTATTTTTTGATGCCAGGCATGAATGAAATAACAGAGCTTAAGCTAAAAAGAAAAAAAAACTAGGCTTGGCCCACAGAGCGCTCTATTCAGCTACAGAGCCGTCGTCGTTTGTTCTACCGGTTCGTCAACTTTGTTTTGGAATTTATAAAATAAATAATAGGTATGTATATGCGATATACATATACATATGTACATATTTACTAGCTTCTGAAGTCACTTGTTTTACGAAAAGTTCAGCTACTACAGATTTGTTGTGTTTACCTTGTATTTTAACGTCATACGCTAAGCGTTCAAATTAGAACTTATTAATAGACATAAGTGGATAATTAAAAGGCGAGCAACTAGTAGATAGCCTATATACATTAAGTCTATACTGCAGATTCAATATGTCATTTAATTCTTATCGATTGTGAGTTGGCATAACATTGATTTTGGCTTATAAATGAGACTATGTACCTAAGTTTCTCAGATCTCGTACAACTCTCGAGCAGACAGCAAGAGGCTGCTTGAATGCCCAGCTAAAACTGTATACGATTTTTGAACAAAGACATGCCCCAAGCCACTTTCTTTATGCATATAAACAAGTTTGCCAATAGGCAGGCGAGTCGATTTCCGATTTATAAAATGCAAACAGCTTTCACATACAGGGTATAAATGTTAATATGCCTAACCTATTGCACTCTCAGCGATTGTACTTACTAATTATGCCAATGCTGCCCGAGGTGTTAACTAAAATATTCACACGTGACAGTAAAATTCGTCATTAAAACCGACTGCTAATTCATTATACTCATTCACGAAAGTGAATCAGTATATTGGTTTTGTGCAATGTCCGTCTTGCTGTCCGTCCGTCTGTCCGTCTGTCCGTCTGTCCGTCCGTCCGTCTGTCCGTCTGTCCGTATGAACGCAATCTATTTCTAAAAACTGACCAAAAATGAGGTGTCTACGCCCAGTTGGGGCGTGGCAAATCGGAAAAACCTGTATATTCTACAGTATTAGAACGAAACTTAACTACTAAATTGTTGATGGGATGTGAATGAGTATTCCGCAGTCGGTAACGCCCGACTGCAACGTTCTTACTTGTTTTAGTGTTTACTTTTGGTTAATGGCTTCCGTTTAAATGTTTGATTACTTTAACGATTCAGTGATTAAAAGACGTCATAAAGACGTCAGAGATACAGATAGAGAAGTAGACCTCTTGAGACGCTTACGTAGCTTCAAGTCTGATCGTTGTCTCAGTTCAATAAATTCGAATGTAGCCAAAAATAAAGCTTCTGTGGATTTATTTGTTTTTGTTAATGCAATTAGTTGTAGAGCTTGATGTATTACGATTGTGTTTCCAATTTCAATTCCAATTGAATTCCATCGAACGGGCAATCGAGCAAATACACTTGACACTTTAAGTCATTTGATGAATGCTTTTGCCTTAGCCAACGATGTTAACACTTGACAAATGTTTTGATCAGGCGATCGTTGCTATAAATATATATGTATATACATACAAATCTATGTGTGTGTGCCTTTGTATAGAATGCACTGTTTTTGCTGCTTATATAAGTGGTGCTCGCGCCACACGTGGCCAACACGCCCACATTTTTCGTTTTTGTTCTCTAGAACAGATATTTTTACCAAGGTTTTCCTAATCAGCACCTTGACTGTGTGAATTGCCGCTCGCTTATCAGCAGGGCGATACACAAAACGAATGTTTGAATATAAATATGACTATGAGTATTTGTATTCGTATTCGTATACGTATTCGTTAGCCAAGTTATTCGCTGCTTCGGTTGTATGATATCCCAAGGACAAATGGTCCAGTTAGCTGGGCAAATTTGCACTTTTATTTGGTTATCAAGCACGCTTGACTGCATAACAAACACAACTTATAATTGCGTTACGTGGACAATTTTGATGACAGCTAGAAGTACTTGTATACCCATACATATCTATGTATATGTGTGGTATATAATAACAGTATCTAGACACTATAATAGGTGCTGCGAGCTGAAATTTATGTCTGCAATTAACTTGAAGTGAAGCAAAATGTTTGCTTTAAAGCAGGCCCATTTTAATTATGTGTCTGGTATATATGTATGTATATGCATGTATGATAAATATATTTTTAAACATTTGTATACGCGTACAATAACCAGCCAACATTCGAGTGCTTTCTGTGATTATTATTTTTATAATTATGTTTTATTTTAATTTTTTCTTGTTCAGAGAGAAAATGGGCGCCATTTTGGACATCTGACCTTTTGTTGTATTTTTGGGTAAATATACTTATAAATACATTAACTGAGAGAGTTCAGGGTCATTGCTTTAATTGTACATTGAAATATTATTGAGACATGTAAACAATTAAAAGCACACTTCATAGTCTGCTATAAATAAAACTGACAAACGAATTAAAATGATTGAAAACTTTAATTTGCCAAAGTGCAAGAGATTCGTATCTGCTGACAAAAGCTGAATGATGTGAAAGTGAAGCTAGCAAAGAGAGCGCAAACAAGGCTGAGTGCTATATACATTCCACGCTAATCTAGAATGATATATAGATACATACATATATGCATATTTATCTTTATCTTTTAATCTTAGTTCTTAACGCATGAATATCATATTCAATTGAATAAAAAACTAAATTAAGCTGTAAGTTGAGATGATTCGTATCTCTCAAGAACAGTCTACGTCTAGCCTGCTCAACTGATAGGAGCCTTATAAATAGATTAGTTGTGTGTCTAAGTTAATTCAACTTTAGCTGTTGATTACCTAACTGAGCTTAGCAACACTGAAACCGGACAATTACAGTAGTCACAGGCAGCACTGATTGCCGCTTAAGTGAATGAACTGTGTCGGCTGATCTGATCCGATTCGCATGACATTCTCTACATTTGTGTGTATATTTGCATAGTTCACATATGTATATATATTTGTATATTTTTTTATTTAGCCAATCAACTAGTTTAGCGCATAGTTTCACAAATTTATATTGTTCTTGTTGTTGTTAATGCTGCAAGGCAACTATTTTTACACGCGCGCCGCACAATTGTTTATGAAAATATGCTGCTACAAAAATACACACACGAAAAACACAAATATACTATAGATATAAAAAAAAAAAAATAGCAAAAACAACACCCGTTTTGAAAAACATTTTCAATTAGTTTGATCTCAATTGATTTTACCTTGAAAGCGAATTCAAAAGAGCAACAGTGAGCGAGTGAGAGAGACCCGGAGAGTGGAAGAGCGAGAGAGAGACAGAGAGTGAGTAGCAAAACGTGCGCAAAAACCAACAACAGACAAAATAATTCGCACAACTACAACAATCGAAAAAAAAAAAACGTTACGTGTTAGTTTTTGCCTAGCGGAAATACGCGAAATACACACAGTGACAAACAGAGCAAACGTACTACGGTGAATATCATAGAAAATCAGCAGCGAAATAAACACACACACGCACACAGACAGAGACAGTGAGTAGGCACACGCTGTTACGTACTAATCTCGGCCATCAACAAGTGCAACAACAGCAACAACAACAACAACAACATGCTACATAGTATTCCATGTCTAACGGTGGGCGGCCAAAAGCTTACGGAAATGGCTTGCAAATGAAACCCGCTGCCCCTCTTTCGCCTCCACCTTCTTCCTGATTGGTCGCACCCTAATACAGCCATACAAAGAAAATCACGTGTTGTTATAAACGCGGAGCGCGTTGCGTGTCGTGACACGACGCAGCACGAATAAATAAACTTCGGATGTTGAATAAAAAAATAAACAATATTAGTAGAGATATTATATAATATATATTATAAAGACATGAGTACAGAGTACAGAATTTGCCTGTGGCTAATTTAGTTAATGCTACTAGGGCTTAGTTTTAGCCTAGTTCATGCGATGTTTGGCAGATGTGTTTCGACACGCTGCCATCATCAGCTGCTCTGGCAAAGCGTGTGAAATTCATGTTGCACGTTTCCCTATTGAATGCCAGTTTTTTTTGTTTGTTTGACTTTAATGTCGTCTAGCTAACCAAGTTCCCAGCTCAGTCCCGCCCCCTTTGCGCCTGCCGGCCTTAGGCATTTTGCGGCCGTTTGTCATATGTGCAATATTTTTCCTTCTCTCTTTTTTTTTTGGCATGCAATTTTTGCACAATGCGACGTCGGCCCACGCGCAATGCACCAATTGGCATTTTAATAAGCCAAATTGAATTGTTGTTGTTGTTGTTGTAGATGTTTTTGTTGTTGTTTCAGCTTATTCGCTTTGCACTTGCAGCGGATAGGCAATTTGAATAAAATCAATGCGAGATGCTTGAAGCGTGAATCATAAATCAACTGTCGAGGCTCACAGCTGGAATGTGAGGTAATCATAACAATAACAACGGCAATAGCAGCAACAGCATCAGCAGCAACAGCAACAGCAACAGCAACAGCAGCAGCAACAGTAGCAATAGCAGCCGCAACAATGGACAATTGCTTCACCACAGCTGGTGAAAGGTGGCACAGCCGAAATCTTGGTTAATGACAGAAGGCCTTCACTTAAGATAGAAAAAAGAAACCAAATACAAAATATAGCTGAGTACAGTGAAAGCTCTGCTAACGAACAGCTGCCTAGAGCAGAGGCTTTAGTGCAAGTAAACCCTTTTTAGCTGTTTGTAATTTCAGTGCACTCTGTCGAGCTTTCACTGTAACTATTTATATGCATGTTTATAATATAGTCATATATATATCATCATCATCATTGAAGTTGCCTCCAATTCAATTCGTTTCGTGCATTTGAAATTGTGTATTTCGTGCTAACGCTTAGGAATTCGAGTCGCGTAAAAGGTCAGCAGCGAACGGTCTAAGGTCTTGCCCTCTACAATTAATCTACATGCTTATTACAACACAGACACATACATATATGTATACGTGTGCATATGTATGTGTCTTACTTGTTAGCGCAAATTGAATTTCAGTGCAGCGCATGCCCCACTGTACGCATAAGTGTATACAACTGTCGGCTGTCACATTTGTGTGTCTTGCCTTTCAGGCTTTTCTTTCTTCTTTCTTCCAGATGATGAAGCGTGGCACACATTTGTCAATCTGCCGCGAGGAGTTGTCTTCAGGACTGCTGGGCGTCTCCATTGTCTGGGCGCCAGCTGCAGCTGTGGCTGCCTCTGCCTCTTTACGCTCCAATAGCGCACGAACTAAAAAAACTTTTGTCTCGAGCCGCTTTGTTGTTGTTATTATTCTGATATGTTGTTGTTATTCTTGTTGCTGCTCTAGCCGAGCTTGTCGCTGCCTGTTTTTATTTGTTTATTGTTATTATTATATATAGCCACGAATGTTGCCAACATTTACACAAATTGTTTGAACAATTGTTGGGGGCACAATATTTTAAAAATAAAACAAAACAGAAATGAAACACAATGGGAGACCCTGCCACAACGCCCACCAACACCAACACCTGCAACAAATTTAGGGTCTCAGCGAAATAAATTATAAAAATAATAATGAGACAGCAATTGTTTAAAAATAACATTAATTTCCATGCGCTGTCAGCATGTTAATTACATTTTAAAGTCTATAAAATAAAGAATAAGCAGAGACGAGTCGCACTTGAGTTACTCTCCCTCTCCCTCTCACTCCTTCACTCGTTCGGCTTACGAAATGTTAGAAAGTTTTAACAGTTTAACTAACATTTTTGCATATGCTTTTTAGTATTTTTTAGTCGTTTCGTAAACCTGACCTATATACATACATATATAAATACACATACACTTTAAGATAACATTACTATGTGAATTACATACATATACTCGCACGTTCTCTCTCTATCTCTCTCGCCCTTTCTTCCTTCCTTGCTGCCTGGGTCTGGCTGTACATGAGTTTTATTAGACTCCAGGCGTACGATGAGCGAAAGCAATACGCCGATTGATTCGACATTTGTATACGACGATACGTTGTCTCTGTTATCAACACGCATTTCAGTGTGACTCAGCAGACAGCGGCTCAACAAATAACAACAGCCCAAACGAAACATGGAAACGTGGCAAAAGCCGATTTGGCCAGCGTATGGCCCGCCCAGTGGGTGGCAGCAGCACACAGCAAGAACAATTGCACGCAATGCAGGACACTCATGTGCATGTATGTATGCATGCATTTGTACATCTATTAATTTTATTCAAGCATGTGTAAAACTTTCAATGTATTGCACAAAAGTAAAGAAGGCAGCAAAGTGCAAGCGCAAAAGACAAAGGCGGCGACGGCAGCGGCTGCAACTGCGACTGCGACAGAGGCGGCGACTGCGGCAATGCTGAGCAAAACAAAGGCCACGATAATGCCAACACCAAACGATGTTTTTATAAATACACACACACACACAAACGCACACAGATGAACAACAGCACTCAGTACTCAGCACTCGGCACTCGGCAATAAGCACTGGGAATGCGTTGCTTATCAAAGGGGAGTTAGCGGCTGCTGTTGAACAAAGAAAGCGAAAATATGTACACACATTTCTACAAAGAAGTAGTTGACAGTAGTGCACCCTAGAGATGGGCGCCCGTGGAACTTGTCTAATGCGATAGGAAATTTCGTGAGCGGCTCGTTCGTGTCACGCATAGAAATCAGTCCCACTCTAGCAAATATTGCATACATATGCATATAATTACAAATGCATGTATGTGTGCCTGTCTGTTTAAATTTACAGTTATATTTCTAGTGCTTACCCCAACATTCACCGTTGCGCTCAAGTGCTGAGCGATACGATTCAGAAATTTCCTGAAGGACGACCGACGCATCGCACGTGCACGCTTGTTGTTGTTGCTGCCGCTGTTATTATTGTTGTTGTTGTTGTTACTGCTGCTGTTGCTGCTACTACTGTTGCCGACAGCAATGGTCGCCGCCCTATCTGAGCCAATTGTATGCTTGTCCTTGTCAATGGGCGCATCAGAGGCAGTCGCCTCATAACTGCTGAGAGTTACAATGCTGCCGCTACGTCCCCGGCCGCCTCTCACGCAGGATGAAATTGCCGTGCTGCTGGCAACGCTGCCAACGTTACCGTCACTGTCGGCGACTCCGGCGCCGCTGCCGGCTGTCGTTCCGATCGTCTTGAATTTGCGCGACCAGCGAAACGGATTGCGTGGCATGGAGAAGGCGCGCCGTATCTTTTTGGCGGCATTTGTGGCCATCGTGGAAGCCTGGGCGGCAGGAATGATTAGCACTGGCGTCGGCGCTGCTGCATGTGTGGGCAGCGTTTGTGACTTTACCTCCATTATATGCGTTGGTGTTGTTGGGCCTGCTGTTGCCGTTGCCGTTGCCGTTGCTTCTGCCTCGGGCTCTGCTGTTGTTCTTGTTGTTGTGGCGTTGGCGTTGCTGTGGGTGGCGGCCGCTTCTGCCGTTGGCGCTGCTGCGACGTCAGCGGCGGCAGCGTTGTCGTTTTGTTGCACTTTCGTTCCCATTTTTTATTTAAAACAATTCGTCACATAAAATTAATTGCCCTGTTGGTTATTTTGTGAATCACGTTTTCGGCTATAAGAAATTGACTTTTAGCATTAGATTTCACTTTTTTTTAGCGCACTTTATTTCTGATTTTTTTCTTTTCGTTGGCGTTGCTTTGCCTCGCGATGCAACGAAAACAAACAATAGCCGCGTGATACAAAGAAATCTCTACTATAATCGCAAAACGATTTTCCCTGTAAATACCGCTTATTTTTCCGCTTTGATTGAATTTTTTCGCAGAAAAATGCAGAAGTGTACTAACCGCGTCCAACCCGTTCCAATGTTTTTTCCCGAATATGTATGTTAACGTAAATGCTGATGTTAGCCGAATGTTGGTGCACTGTTGTCCTCAAAGTGCACTGTTAACAATTGTCTATCGATGACTTACCAATGTGCAACTCTGTTATTTTACGACGGTCACACTTTGTGTTAAAATCTGAGTGGCAATATTTCGTGCTGCCGTACTGCTACTATTATTGGGAGTAGTGGCAAGGAAAGTTACATTAGGTGCCAAAGTTCGGTGCTATGAAACGTGTACGTGTACTAAAAAATTTAAAGAGCCTTACGCTATTTTTGGTTCACGTAAGCATAAAACTACGTGATTACGTTATATTCGGGCTATCAAAGAAAAATTTTCATATATTTATAAGTTTAAGGTATATAAGCTTAAGGTTATTATTATTACTGCTGCTGAGCAGATATATATTTTTTCGTTTTATTACGCTGTCTTTGGACATCAACCCCGTCATTGAAGCAATGCAATTTACTGTTATTACAGCCGCAACTGAGCTGCAGTAAATGAAAACTTTTTAGTATTCATGGTTTTAGCATTAACGACTTCAATTATGGCAGCATTTTATTTCATTTTACTTTATTAGCTCTTAGCAGCGGCAGCGAACAACAGACAACAACAGCGGCATCGACGCCGACGGCGACGCCAACGTAGGGCGTGTCGCTAACAAAATGGAGCAATGGCTCCATAACCACAAGCAGCCAATCAGTGTGCAGCTCGTGTGAGTCGGCGCAGGAGAGCGAGCGAAGAAGAGCGAGTGAGTGAGAGCATATTACATTACGCTCTCTCGCGCATATAAGCAGCTTTTGCCGTTACCGTTGTATGTGCTTGGCATATTAAAATGGCCGTCGCCGTTGCAAATAAGCTCTAAAAGTCCCAATTATAGGCACTTATTCATTGCGGTATATGATGCGTACAACGATGATGCTGTTACTACCGTTAGCCATTGCCTGGCGTTTGCCATTTTACAGGTGCCGCGCGTTGCGTTTAATCAAAAAGGAAGAGCCGACAACTGACGAGCACAACAGCAATTAAACGCCTCGGCTTGACTTTATTGCTGGGTTTATCGTGCGGAATGTGTCTAAATGCTGGAAATGCCCCCCATGACCCCGTTGCCCTTTGTCCTGTGTTAATTGTTTTGCTCAGAGGGTTGTTGCTGTTGCTGCTCTGACATTAATTGGCTGTGTGTACGAGGCCAATTTGGCGTCGGAATCGGTTAAAAGGCGCAAATTGATTGCCTTGCGGTTTTAATCGATGCGCATTCATTCCAAATCACGCACATTTATCACCCACGCTCAGCCACCACCCGCTGCTGTTGCCGCTGCTGTTGTTGCAGCCACATCTGCGCCGTTTATAATTGCCAGCGATTGCAATTGCAATTAACGTCAATTTTTAGCACAGTGAAAAACTTGGAAAATTCACAAACAAAATGGCTTGGCTTCAACTTTTCCTCTTTAGTTTCTTCTTTTACCAGTTATATATCATAAAAACCCGTTATATAAACATTGCGTGTTTATTGCGAAACATTTGCTTGTTTGTTTTTTGTTTTTCGCATTTTACCTGAGGATTTATGCGGAAATCGTTGGCTGTTTTTTAGCCAACGGATTGGCAAGAGGTAAAAAGGATGTGGAAGGATGTGCGAACTTCCACGAATATCCTTTTTGGCTAAGAGTTGTGTAGGGTTATGAAATTTTACGCAAGGATTGCTCAAAGGATTTAGCGTGAATCGTAAAGGCCTTTCGCCTTTCGGCTTTTGCCTTCCGCCTTCTGCTGGCACTGCAGGAGCAGCACACGATAATTGCGCGCAATCAACGCATAATCCTCGCATAATCTGCAGTATTAGCTGTTGTCAAACGCTGAAAAAACAGTGAGTTCTGCTTAAAAAACTGATTCGACTCGACCTTGAGTGGAAAGTCAACTCTGTTAGAGCTGTTGCTGCTGCTGCTGCTGCTGCTGCTTGTTGCTGTTGGCTAACAGGTATATTGCACACGCCCCCGACTTGCGCCACGCCCCGAGCTGCAGAAATAGGCGCAGCAAATCGCCAACTTAATTGCCAGAAATTCTCAAAACAAACGAAAACAAACAAATAAACAGAGAGTCGAACGGATGATAAACTTGAAACTTGGATTTGCATCGGGGATTTCACAAATTTACTTTAGCTGCTGCAATTAGGCGACGGCGGCTGTTGCTGTTGCTGCTGCTGCTGCTGTTGTTGTAGCCGATTGACTTCTGCGGATCATCTGGAGTAATCGGAGTTAATCCCGTTAGTCGCAGGCGCAACCCGTTCGCCCGGGTTAAGCGGCTTAGGCGCAGATTTAGTGCAGAAGTCAGCGCAAATGCGAAAGGATTAAAACTCCTGCAGGAGCAGCAGCCTCAGCGGCAGCAGGAGGCGTGGCTGCTGCTGCCGGTGCAG